GAACCCTTTCAATTTTGGCAAGCACGGCCTGGTTCGGCACCGCCTTCCCGTTCTCGTACTCTTGAACCACCTTGAGCTGCTCGTTTATCTGTTTAGCCAACTCCCACCAGGCTCATCTTCTTCTCCAACCGAGCCTTCTGTATAGCTTGCCTCACATCCGTCGTTTCCCAGTCCAGAGCCGCCGCTTCGTCGAGCTTCCTGGCGTCAATCACCGGCCCCGCGGCTTTCTTGTTGGATCCGGCGTCGAATTTCTTCACCGCCTTGTCCGCTGTGCCCGGCCGGAGAGCTTTATTCACGGCCTTGGGATCGCGGAGATCCTGAGACTTGGGCTTCGACTCGTGGGGCACAACGGCTCCACCGAATCGGCTCGGCATTGTTTGAGGATGATGATGTGATTTAAAACTGCTTCACAAACGAAGGCAAATGTTTATCGTGGCCGAAAAAAACTCATAGATCGGAGCTTATATAGAGGTCCAGACTCAAGAATGTTCTTGCGGTTTTTAATATCTTCAAGGTTCTTTGCTAACTCACTTATGAATACAATGACGTGGCAGAGTCTATAGAAGATTTTCGGGTAATTTAGGGAATAATTTAGAATAGAAATCATAGCTTGAGGACTTCCTATAAATGAACTCTTGGTCAAATGTCAAAATTTAGATTTGGGGGAGCAGAAAAGAGTGTCAAATGTCAACATATGTTGGTCAAAATTTAGATTTGTATTCTTCAACCTCTTGGTCTCTTATGGATACCTTCCTTTCTGCATCTATAAATTGGTTTAAGTTAAGCATGTTATGAAGTTTGTGTTTATTTTCTGATGTCATGGTTACCTAATCCAACAATAATTTTCTATAAAAGGGAGATTCTATGAGCTCTACGGGATAGATGCTGAAATTGGGCACAAGGAGCTTGACTGGAAGACGACGGTAAGCGGAGTGGGCAAATGCCGCCAGGTGACTTATTATCTAGTTTTCATTCTTGCAATGGTCTATCAGGATTCAGAACGTTATCTCTATATATGGCCTTTCAAAACAGTGGTGGTGTAGATGCTATAGTCATGATATCTTTCTCTATATTCAGGTTGGTATACCAGAAAGAGGAATCGATGATGCTGTTCATAAGCTGGTTGCTCGTGGGTAATAATGCTGAGGAGATTTGTGGTTGTCTTCATCCTCGTCTGTGTATACTATGTCTTAGAATCCTTCAAAATAAAATATTCGATGCATGGTAGAAAGCGCAAAGAGGAAATAATGATCCATGCTCTTGGTCATCTTTTAGACAGCGGCATGTTGAATTCTAGACGGTGCCTCGTCTGTGTATTCTAGACGTGTGGAGCAGTTAGAGACATCTGAGCAAGCAAAAGCTAGGGGTGCAAATTCTGTAAGTTTTTCATGTTGCATGTCATTCTTTTTCTACTCTTTGGTATGCTATCCTTTATGTGCTTTGATATTGCACTTCAGAGAATGCTTGTGTATTTAATGTGAGACCATGGCTCTGTCAATAGCTTGTCTTAATAGTTGAAGTGATCACCCCATCAACAGCAGTTGATTGCAACATTGGACCTGATGCTGTTCATCTACTTGCCATGAAGGAGGCTGGTTGTGCACATATTTATGCATTTAAATAACTAGTTTTTCAGTATCTGCTGATTGAATGTGTCTAGTCCATCTCTAAAATCCTTTATCTCTTTTTATTTAATTTTTACTTTATCTCTGCTGATTGAATGTATGTATGAAAAGAACGAAGACATGCATGACTTGAAACATGAACACAAGCTAAAAATGAATTTAATTGAAAAATAATATGTTGAGGGGTATTATTGTAATTATCCCTACATATATAAGGTAAAATTGTATTTTTTCCCGGGGTCGGGTCGGGTAATTTTCACCTTAAACCCGTACCTAACCCAACCATAACTCAACTAGGGTTGTTCATGGAAGGCTAACTGTACCGTTTAGCCTAAACGGTCGATTAGTCGTTATAACGGTTATGAGTTTTTTCTAACCGTAACCTAACCATTAAAAAATGATTAATCGCTAATGGTTAATCGTTATTAACGGTTCGGTTACAGGGTAACCTATTACAATTATTTGTCAATTTTTTTTCATAATTCATGCTACAAAAAAATATAGCACTTAACACAATACTTATACCGGTGTAACTGAATAAAACAAAAAAGTGTAATAATTAACACATACTACACCGGAGTAAGTGAATAGAATAAAAAAGTGTAACATTTAACGCGTACTTACAACGGTGTAAGTAAATAAAATAAAAAAGTGTAGCACTTAACACATATTTACACCGATGTAAGTATGTACATCTCCCAATATCTTAGTACCTAACAATAAACATATAATTATATTGGTGTAAGTATGTTTCTATATTTTCAAAGAAAATAAAAAAGTAAAAGTAAAAATAATATATATATATATATATATATATATTAAGTTATTTGTATATAAATTTTATTAAAACTATATATAAATTATAAATAATAAAAATTTATATTAATTTATTTATGTAAAAATATAATAAATTAGAAACATAATTATAAATTTAATTTATTGTAGACCGTTTATCAAAATTTTTTAATCGTAACCTTAACCGTTAATCATAATTTTTCAGTGGTTACGTTAATCGAAATCATTTAATATTAACGGTTTGGTTAATTAACCTGTTAAATATAACGATTATACCGGTTAATGGTTACGGTTAAGGTTTTAGGTTAATTAACCGAATTTTATTTTTTATTAAAAACTCCGACTTGATCTGAATGGATCAAATCGAAACTCGTTGAGTTTGAGTCCAATGTCATCCCTACACGTGTCTACATTTGCCTTTGCCTTGAAGCTAAACCCCAAGTGGATATTAAAATTTCGTGCCCCTTTTTTGCTGTATTTCAGACATTGAATCTGTGCCACAATCATTACACAAGTTCATCACAAGAAGGGGAAATTATCACCATAAACAACACTCTTTGACCCCACAATTATCCTCTAATTACAATTATCCTCTAATTGCTTGCTCTCCAACGAACACCTCTACTTAATAGCACCAAACCAGCGATCCACTAGACAACCGCCACCAGCAGCATATAGCTCCAAAACAAAAGCCATTAATTCCTCCAAAAAGCACTTTCGTATCTATATTTGTTGAGAAAATATCAAGATTCCCTCCCATTTCTCGCATTCTTATGATTAAAAGCACTTGAAACAAGGGTGAAATACATCCCGTGTCATTCAATTATTAATTCGGTTACAAAAAAGCCACTTTTTTTAAAAATATATATTACAATTTAGTCACTCAATTAAAAAATTGATACAAACATGACACTCTGCCGTTAAAATTGAAACATTGTCTAATGTAACATGGTGTAATAACAGTTTTGATCCAAAACTAATACTACATTTTATCAGTTTGATCCTGATTGAGTGACTAAATTGTAATTTTTTAAAAAATACGCCATTTATAACCGAACTAATGATAAACGAGTGACATGTGATACGCTTTACCCTTGAAACAATGACTACGAGAGCAAAAGAAGGTATTCAATCATGGTGAATTTGCACACAAGCAAAACAGCAGCAGTGATCTTATTATGCTTCCACTTTGTCACTGATTAACCATTTATACAAATTCCCACTTTCACTCGGCTATTGTAACACACAATATGGCTAGAAGAAGAACACCACAAGCTCTTGAGTCCATCTATCTGATGAACACGGCTGAGATTTTTAGAGAATCCATCAGGCTAATCCTTTTTCACCCGACTCATTTCCATTCCATCTCCGTCTTCCTCTTCTCGCCGATCCCGGCTTCCCTTTTCCTCTCGCATTTTCTCGTCCGTCGTTTCCCCGAAATACCTACATTGGCCACGACAATCGTCCATCGTTTCTTCGGACACCGCCCAAGAAATTTCCCGTCGGAAACGATAGTCCACGTTGTCGTATGCGTCCCTTCTTCGATAACGTTCGCCCTCCTCGGACGAGCCGCCGCCATCCGAGCGGTTTCGGACACTTACAACTGCGTAAACCTCGACGGGAGGAGGCTACTAATGAGGAGCGGTTCGAATTGGATTAAGCTCCTCCACACAAGATCGTGGGAACTCCTCATCATACTAGGCCTATTCGGATCTTTGTCGATCGGTCTAGCAGCGACGCCGAAGATACTTCTCACGTTCGGAATCTGCTCGGTCGAGATCGGATTCTGGGGTGTCCTCGGTATCCTAGGGATACCCTTTTGCCTGATTTTTGCACATGTAATGGTGGTGGGGAACATGGCTAACGTGATATCGGTGCTGGAGAGTGAATATCATGGACTCGACTCAATGTGGAAAGCCAAGCAACTCATGGGAGAGAGACGACAGACAGGGTTGGTGGTGGCTCTGTTGAGCAACATGGGATTGAGGGCCGTCGAGTGTTTGTTTGAGTTGAGGATTCGTAGGGGCATCTGTGCCTGGGAAATCCCTGTGCTGATATCCATGTATTCTTCCCTTCTTGTTCTTGAAACTGTCATGAATGTTGTGTTATATTATGCATGCAAGTCTTGACAAGGAACTATAAAAATCGAATTTTGTTTAAAGGGGTATTTGGTCGTTTTATAGATTAAAGTTGAAATTCTTTAATAAGTAGTATTCTAATTATATAAATCGTGCATGAATTAATTGACCTTGGTGGTAAATGAATTGTTCGTATTCCTTCAGATCTCGAGTTCGATTACCAAAAATACCATGAAAATATGAGAGTTCAATGTCAGACAGTCGAGTGTTATCCTTAAACATGTACTACATTGTAATGTTCGTTATATATCGATAGAGTTATTTTTTATCTTTTTTTTTAAATTTTTGAAAACCTATCTTTACCTAATTAGTAATGGTAAAATCTGTTTCAATTTAAAATGTGTTATAGTCTTTATTTTATTTTTTTTTGGATAAATTGAATTTTATTATCCAAAGAAGCAATACATGCTACAAAAACATAACAATTATATACATCCAAAAATTAGTCTATACCCCAATAGTTACAGAGAGAAGCATTAACATCATCAAGTCTATTAATATTTCTACCAAAAAGTTGGATTCGGACAAATTCCTTGATGATCTTCAAAAGTTGATCCACATCTCTAGTTCGGTTTTGGAAGATTCTTCTATTTCTTTCTTCCCAAATCAAGTAGATATAAGTATTCCATGCAAGCTTCATCACAGTGGAGATGAGTGATTTACCTTTCCATTTTCTACAAGACCAGTCCAGCCTTACTTCCCAAGACATGTGAGTTTTTTGTAATTGAGTGAGCTGTAATATTGAGTTCCACAGAGTTTTAGCAAAATTGCAGTCTGCAAACAAGTGATCTCTAGTTTCTATTTCCTCATTGCAGAAAACACAGAGTCCATCAGTTGGAATTCCCATCCGAGATAGTCTAGCTCGAGTTGGAAGCCTATCAAGAATGGCCATCCAAGTAATCACACTTGCTTTAGGAATATGGAGGGGAAACCAAACCACTTTGTGCCATGGAACCTTGTTATGTTTTTCTCTAATTTCTTCCCATATTTTCTTTGTCTTCGAAATACCTGCATCAAGAATGGGACGGGCATCTGTTCTCAGCTTTAACAGTTTGTTTATACCCCAACTGTTGGTGGGACTTTCACTCAAATCATAAAAATCCTTGTTCTTGATTACATAATGGTTTATCCACGCAACCCAGAGTGAACCTTCTCCAGCAAGAATATTTCGTATGAGTTGAATCATACAAGCCTTGTTCCAAGTTTTGATACTTTTAAAACCAAGACCACCTTAAGATTTTGGGTTGCATATGTTATTCCAGCTGATTCTGGCTCCAACAGCAGATTGGTCAGAACCCTTCCAAAGAAATCTTGCACACAGCTGGTCGATCCTATTTATAACAGATTGGGGAAGCAAAAATTGTCTGCACCAGTAGTTGGAGACATTAAAAAGAACAGATTTAATTAGTTCAAATCTACCAGCATAACTGAGCAGTTTTCCAGACCAGAGGTGCAATTTTGATTTGATATTGTCAATAAGGGGTTGCCAATCTTGGATTTTCAGCTTCCGAGTGACTAAGGGTACCCCTAGGTACCTTACAGGCAAGAAACCTTGTTTAAACCCCGAGATACATTTTATAGCCTCAAGATTTCTGTGAGAAATTCCAGCAGCAAATAGTTCTGTCTTACTAACATTGAGCTTAAGACCAGACATGCAATAGAAATGCTGAAGTACAGTAAGAATACCAACAACAGAATCAAGGCTCCCTTTGCAAAAAATTAAAAGGTCATCAGCAAATGATAAGTGTGTTAGTCCAATTTTATTGCATTTTGGATGAAAACCAAAGATTCTTCTTGCAGCAGCAATGTTGAGGATCTTTGAAAGGATATTCATGGCTAGAACAAATAAAATAGGTGAAAGAGGATCGCCTTGCCTAACCCCCCTCTTATCTTTGAAGTATCCTATCAAGCCACCATTTAATGAAATAGAATATCTAGCTTCCTTGTGACAAGCTTCAATCCAGCTTATGAAAATGTTTGGCAGACCAATAGCCATTAGGATAGCTGAAATAAAATCCCAGTGAAGAGTGTCAAAGGCTTTTTGCAGGTCAATTTTAAGAGTACACCTTGGAGAAATATTCTTCCTTCCATAGCCTTTTACAAGTTCTTGAGCTAGCAGTGTATTATCAATTATAGTTCTTCCTCTAACAAATGCAGTCTGGTTAAGGGAAATAATGTCTGGCAGCAGCTTAGTCATTCTTTGAACAAGGATTTTTGTGATAATTTTGTACACTACATAGCAGCAAGATATTGGCCTGAAATCCTTGACTTTGCTAGGATTTTGGATCTTTGGAATCAAGGCAATGATTGTTGAATTAAAGGCAGGCAGGAGATAGTTTTCCTTGAAGAAAAATTTGATGGCATTAATAACATCTTCTCCAACCACATTCCAAGCTTTCTTGAAGAAAAGAGGAGTGAACCCATCAGGACCAGGAGATTTATCATTTCCTTGATTGAATATAGCTTTTTTAATCTCTTCAGAAGTGGCAATTTTAGAAAGATCAGTAATAGTTTCAGTGGGTAGATTGTATTGAAGCAGATTTTTCAAGAAAAGTGGATCAGTGTTTTGAACACAAGGATCAGCAGACCCAAGCTGTGCTTTGAAGTAATCTAAAATTTCAGAAGCCAATTCATCAAAAGATTCCAGTCTTTGACCTTGTTCATTAATTAGAACTCTGATAGTGTCTCTTTTGTTTTTGTTAGCAATGGCAGAATGGAAGAACTTGGTGCATCTATCACCCTCTTTTATCCATTTAACTTTTGCTTTCTGTTTTAAAAACATATGTTCAGCTTCTTCAAGATTAATCAGCTCCTTTTGGACTTTCAGCTCATTTTCAATAGGACTGACACCTTTGAGAGTTGAAATTTGAATATGTTCAAGCTTAGCTTTCTTGAGATTTACTCTAGCAGAGATATTGCTGTAGAAATATTTGTTTAAAGACTTTAAACAAGGTTTCAGCCGTTTTAATTTTTGAAAAAGCCTCTGCATTGGGTGTCCTTGTGAAGGTTGCTGCCAGGAATTTTGAACTTCAGAAAGGAAATTTTGATGATTTGTCCAGAAGTTGAAGAATTTAAAAGGTTTAGGGTGATTGACTTGGATCTCTTTACTTAACCAGACAAGAGCCATACAATGGTCAGAAGGGCCAGGAGCAAGGAATTCAACAAAAGACTTTTGGAAAGAAGAAGACCAAAGAGAATTGATAAGCACTCTGTCAAGTTTCCTTGCAAGAAAGTTCTCTTTTTGCTTATTACTCCAAGTAAATGAAGGACCAAAATAAGGGTGGTCACAGATATGAAGATCAAATAAAACATCATGAAAATCTTTCATATCAGAAGAGTAGAAAGGCCCTAAAAGATCAAAATCAGAACTTTCTGTAGGATTTAGATAAGTGTTAAAGTCTCCTCCTAGAACCCAAGGGAGAGAGCCAAAAGAGATATCAAGATCTCTTAAATGTTGCCAAAGGAGTCTTCTAGAAAGGCCATCATTGGTCCCATAGATAGCAGATATGATAAAAGGCTCATTATTGAATTTGCATTTAACAGTGATGTTTTGAGAAGTAGATTGATAGAATAAGATATCAATATCTTTCTTCCAGAGAAACCAGATTCTACCATTAGTAGCAGAGTCATAATTGATAATCACACTCCAATCCCCAAATCTAGAGTGAAAGATATTAGAAGATTTTTCAGTCTTTATACGAGTCTCCAACAAACAAAGAATGTCAACTTTGAAAAGTTTGGCTCTATTAAGAACTTTAGTCTGTTTTTGAGGATTATTTAATCCTCTTATGTTCCAAAAGCAAATGATCATTGAGAAGGAGAAATTGGGTCACCCCCTTTATCACTATCAACAGAAGTTTGATCTTTTACAATGTGCTCTTTCTTTTTTAGTTTAAGCTCCTTAAGCAGATTTACAACCCCTAAGGCAACAGACCTAGGTTTTCTACCTTGTACCTCAACAGATGGAGAGTTCTCATCAACATTGTTTAGAATTTCAAAACGGTTAGCTGAACCTTTAAGAGCAATCTTAGATTTAACTTTGAAGAGCAATCTTAGATTTAACTTTGAGAGGTCTCCCTCTGCCTCTTTTAAGGATATGATCAGCAACATTTTCCTTAGCAATGGATGAGATATGAACATTTGATGTTTCCCCTTTAGCAGATTCAATGGTTTTAGTAGAAGGATGGGGAAAATCAGAAGATTCTTCACCAGGATGGATAGAAGAAGAAACAGTTTGGGCTGGAGAAGGAATTTTAACAGGAAGCACAGAATCTGAAACCTTAAGAACATACTTGTTAATAGGGGAATGAGTCAGTGTTTGTGAATGTTCAGACTTGTCCAAGGGAAGAGAAGAGTCTGGATTTGGGACCTGTAAGGTTTCAGTTCCTTCCAAGGAGTTAAAAACTTGATTATCTTTCAAGACAGATTTTTCCTTCCAAACTTTATTATTAGTAGGAGCTAAAGAAGTTTTATTTGAGCAGTTCTTATCAGTGTGACCAAAGGATTTACACCTCCTACAACAACTAGGATACCAGGGAACTTCAACAAAGATGGTAGTGGTCTGACCATTAGCCATGATCACTTCAACTGTTTTTGGAATTTCCTCCTTAACACCTATCTCAATGCAAACTTTAGCAAATTTTAGTCTAGTCTTTGAAGCAGTAACTGAGTCCATGGAAATAGGGTTACCTAGAGCACTAGCAATGTAGCTAAGTCCTTCCCTAGTAAACAATTCAAGAGGAACATTGTACAAATGAATCCATAATGGAAGTCGAGACAAATCAAAGTTAAGCCTTTTAAGATTAGGCTCCCATTTTCTGAGAATTAGTGGCCTATTAAGAATATGCCATGGTCCGTTATCAAGGACCCAATCCCTAGCAGAATCAAAGTTGAATGAAAAAATATATAAATTATTCCCAGCAAGACTGACCTGAACAGAAGCAGTTTTCGAAGCCTGGTTCCATAGATTATCAATAACTCTTTGCAGAGAAAGGAAATTAGGGGCTGACCCGAGGAACTGCCCAACAAGAGCGGACTTCCATTCCGCTGTACCTGCCTCAAAGACCTTAGGAGGAGGTTGGACTATTGGAACCCTATCATTCGATTTTGGGGGGAAATAAGAAAGTTCCTGATTTGCTTGACTCCCAAATAATTTGCGTCAATCCATTGACAAAAGAGAGTGAAGTGAAAACAGAAGACCAGTAGATTTTTAATCGGAAGAAAACATACAAGATCACCGGCGAATCGACGGGAGACTCAGGTTTCATTAGCTCTACTAACGTGCGCCCAGAGAATTCCGTAAACGTGCGCCATTGTCTTTTAATATTATATAGTCTTTATATTATGTCTATGTTATAGATTTAATTTTTTTTTAATTTAATCATATTAATTATGCAGTTTTTATTTTAAAACTTTAAAATTATAAAGATGAAAATTAATAAAATTAAAGTACATAGGTTAAACTCATAATTTATGCATCATATAAAGACTTTTTTCTCAATTTATTATAAAAATCTAAAACATCATTTTGGTTGTTATCGTATCGTTTGTCGTATTATTATACTGATTTTATTTAACAATAAATTGGCGAAAATAAACATAATATCAGAACAAAATGATTAAATTAATTTTTTTCTAAAACTATAATAATTAAAATATGAAAAAAAATTGAACGATAAAAAAAAATTTACCCTAACCTCAAATAAAAACAAACATATGCAACGAACAAGCACAAAAGTGTTTAGTTGTTTCTAGGATGGTATTTGGTCGATCCGATCCGAAAATATGTATTCTTTATCTGAATCCGATCGATCTAAAAATTTTATAATCTCCACCTGACCTGGTCTAATCCAAAAAATATATATCTTTCTCTCGACTCTGACCCGATCAGATAAAAAATAAGGATTTAATTAAAAATAACTTTTTTAAGAAAATTAGATTATTATCCACGGCTCGGGTCGAAGTTTTTCCCCCTCCATCCGAACCCGAACCCAATCGGACCTAACCTCGCCACTTAAAAAATCCAATCCAACCCATCTCAAATCCGATTTTAAAAAAATGACTCTATCAAATCGAATCGAGTCAGTACCGTGGAATTCGAGTTAAATTGTGATCCCTACTTGTTTCCCTCGACATTATTTACTATGGAACATGATTCTCGAGAAAACACTGGAACGGGGAGCTTTGAATGCAAACACGAACCAGTCACGGCATGCCATCAAGCTGGAACACTGCTTTTAAAGCTTATAGCAAGCGGTGAAGCAATTAATCTTCATCTCAACTAATTCCATATTTGGCTTTATAAATGGTGAAAGAGGACACTCCATCGTTGAAGGAAACAAGCAATGGCCGGGAATAGGTTAAAGTGGTGGGTTGCTTTGTGGATTTGTTTGGCGGTGGCATACCAGTGCGTTGAGGGTAGGAAGATAGAGGAGGAGGAGGAGAAGAAGCCACAATGGTTTTTTGATGACAGCCCCAGCTGGGGAACCGGAGGCGGTTTTAGTGGCGGAAACAGGTGGGGTTTTGGCCATTCCTTTAGCTTCGGCAAGGGACTGGGCTTCAGCTTTGGTTTCGGAAGTCCTGGTGCTGGTGGTGGTGGTGGAGGCGGTGGCGGTGGTGGAATTGGTGCCTTTGGAAGGCATAATAACTGGCACCACTATGGAGGTGGTGTTGGTGCTGGTGGAAGTGGTATAGATGAAGGTGGAGGCGGGATAGGAGGTGGTTTTGGTGGAGGAGGCGGCGGTGGTAGAGGAGGAACTGGAAGCGTGAGCCAGAAAGCCCATGTTGAAGAGGAAAAAACATAAGTTCAAATAAGGATGCTTTTAATTACCGTTGCCTCGATAATTGTTTTTATATAGTTAGTATTTCTTATTCCGTATTTATATATTATATTTATGTAATCTATATATTGATTAATTCAGATTAAATATTACAGCGATAATGATGACTTTTTCAATTCAATTTATTTTATTTGTAATTGTGAACCCCTAACCTTATTTAAGTAATTTATTGTCTCATCTCACTAAATCGACTGATTGTTTGTGTATTTATCTATTATATGATCTCTATTATTCAAATTTACATTTAATTATTATGAATATAATACATCATATCGCTAGGGGTGGCAATTGGGTGGGGAAAACCAAAAACTATTGGGATCCGAACCGACTGAATGGTGAATAATCGAAATATTCTCTCACGGGGATGGGGGATGGGGGAAGTTTTATCCCCGAAGTTCAAATGGGAATGGAGACGGAGATTGTTATATCCAAACCGTGGGGATAATCCAACTATACCCATGTGAATAACCGTGGGGAACCCAAAAAATATCCGTAGGAATTCATGATATTTTACAAATTTATTTGCCTATATACCATTAATATATATTTTAATAAAAAAACTATATATGATAAGATTGTGAGATTATGTGTTGTCACTGTTATATCTCAAAAGAACTAAAATTGAAGTTTAGATCTTTTCTCATTTAATATACATTGATTAATTGAGATTAAAAATGGTTAAGATTGTACATATATATATTGGGTGTTAGATGATTATTGACATTTGAAACTTTCATATTATAGATAGAGACCAATTTGAGACAATCTGATGTATCTTACAAGTTTTAGGTGTTACATTGATTTCAAAAATGTTTGTTTATTTTTTAGGACGAGGATTAACCGATACTCACAGGGATCCGTAAGTGATGAGTATGGAGACAAAAAAATCCCCGAAACATATAATAAGGATTCTCCAAAACTGTACCCGTAAATTTTGGGATGGACTGGATAATGCAAACCCGTTACCGCCCAACATACCGCTATAGATGGTTATTGCCATTAATACTTCATTGTTACACTGAATGATAATTTATTTTGATTTTATAATAAATTATAAAAATATTTTTTCAGAATGCAATTCACACCTAATTTACGATGAGCATTTGATTCAATTTTGAGAGTTTTAGACTCAATTAAAACTTATGGAATCAACTTTCTAATGAAAAATTAGGTTCGAATTTAAAATAAAAATAATGGTATAATTGATATTTATATATTTAAAATAGTTGTTATAATATTTATTTATCCATATTTTTAATTGGGTCCATATTCTACTTAATAGAAACGAATGTTTGTGTATGTCAGATCGAGTGTGAATTTTATTTTAAAATTTAGGTTAAATTTTAGACCAAATGATTTTTTTCTAAATTTGGGTCAAGACGAATAATAAAAGAAAAAATATTATACTCAAATCGGATTCGAGTGGACAAGAAACCCAACCATAACCACTACTACACTTAACCATTGAGCCCACGGCCCACTTACACAATTAAATGCAAACCATCCTTCTTTGGCAATGGGACAGGCTCCCTTTCAGGACATGAGCCTTTACCTATCCGGTTGGGCTTGTCTTAGGCTTTTGATCCATTAGCTTCATATGCATAATATTAAAGGCACAGTGTCAAAAAGTTATGTAGAACGTTTGATTAAATAATTATTTTAATAATTATTTTTTTGAAATATTTTTATATTTAACATTTTATTTTAGGAAAAAGGACCTCTATGTGGATGGAAAAAGATTAAAATTAATGTTAAATCGGACAAGATCGGAATCAAAGTCAGACTTCAACTTTTCAAGTTATATTTAGATGAATAAATATATTTCTTATACCAAATCGAATCGGACTGAGATCGAATTTTTTTATAATAATATTAGGTCGGATTCGAGTCAACCGAAAACTCACTCCACTACCATTTCTAAGAACATGGCAGGGAGGCATGGAAGAACGTTCTGAAAAACTGGAATTTGTACCATTTGGTGAGGTTTATTAAAAAAGAAAAGCTCCCACATTTCCACTATATTTTGAACAGGAATGAATCAACAGACCACTCCATGAGTTGTCTTGATCTCCTCAGCTGTACCAATTCTTTCAAGGAAGTTACAATGGTAATGGTAGCTAGAGTTCTTCAGGCTGAAGCTTTAGCAGACAACGATCCACCTTTACTGCTGTCGAGCAATATATGTTCTAGCTGACAACTCCCTTTTATTTTCTTCTTACATAAGAGAGTTTTTATTGTTTGTCTAAGGTGATTTTATGTTGTCAGATTAGACACATTTTGTTGTTGTTTGTTTGTTAGGAAATTTGTCTCATTTATGGTGCTTTGAGTTGTGGATAAGGTTTATGTAATTTAGGGTAAGTATTCGATCGAATCGAATTTAAAAAAAATTAAATTAACGAGTCTTATTTTATAGGGTAAAGTAACAAATGGTTTTTCAATTATAAAATATTATTTTATTGAGTCCCTTCACTATTAAAAGTTACAATATGATCCCTGACTATGAGGAGTTGCTTTATTGAGTATCGATTATTAAAAGTTACAAAATGATAACCCGGTTATTCATTATATTCCAAATTCGTTCTTTTTTATTAAAATTTTGACGATAGTCTGAGTTGTACGCTAACATGTTGATTGAGATATGATAAAATATGATCTCATAATCTCAAATGACTATCATATCTCAATTAATAAATTCTTTTTTTTTTCGTTTGTTTGAAAATTTGTTCCATTTATGGTGCTTTGAGTTGTGGATAAAGTTTACGTAATTAAGGGTAAGTATTCGATCAAATTGAGTTATAAAAATTTTAAATTAATTAAATTAACGAATCTTTTTTATAGTGTAAAAAACACAAATGGTCTCTCGATTATAATATATTATTTTATTGAGTCCATTCACTATTAAAAGTTACATGATGATCCCCAACTATGGAGAGTTGCTTTATTGAGTCCCTGCTATTAAAATTTACAAAATTGTCACCCGACTATTCATTATGTTCCAAATTCATTCTTTTTCATTAAAATTTTGACGATAGTCTGAGTTGTAAGCTATCCTGTTGACTGAGATATGATAAAATATGATCTCATAATCTAAAAATCATATCTCAATTAACGTGTTAACATTCAGCTCAGACGATCGTTAATTTTATAATGAAAAATGACGAGTTTGAAAATAATGAATAGTCAAGTGATTATTTAGTAACTTTTAATAGTCAATGGATTTAATAAAACAACTTCATATAGTCGGGGGACCAACGAGAAATAGACACAACCAAAAATGTGATAAAAAATCATAATATTTTCGATTGAACACAACCTTAATATTTTAATTTGTGGACAATCAAAAATACTATACTTTTTTATCACATTTTTTATTAGTTCGATTTCAGTTGGTAAGGAACGGTTGAGCTTGTGATTCACATCAATTTAAACACTGCTGATATTTTGTGCATGTAAATTGTCTGTCCAGCTTAGTTGGTAGAGTACAAGATTCTTAATTTTGGGGTCGTGTGATCGAGTCTCACATGGGGCAATTCATAATTTGGAGGTCTCCACGAAAGTTGTTCTCAATCTGACATTAGAGACAGCCTACTATCCTATCTCCCATTACATATCACATAATTTTTAATTTGATATTTTGTGAATGTCCATGAAAACAATTAAACAAAACCTGACCAACAGCGATTTGTCGGTGATTTTGTTGTTGCGCAACCTAATATAAAACTAAAAAACAATGATATTGGGACTCAATAAAAAATATTATAAAAAATAATAAAAATATTATGAAGAATATAAAATTATAAATTTAATCATAAATATTACAAAAAAGATAATATGTTAAATTATACTTAACCTAAAAATATTATAATCACATTTTTAATTACATTCTAAGAAGAATATTTTCTTATACCATACCGCAATTTGCAAGACATTACCAAATGGTAAAAGTGGGTTCCATTGCTAGACAACTGTTTAATCCCACGAGCTACAGAGCCTGGTTGTGGGACCTGTGTGTGTCCAGTGCCAATGCATGCCAGCTGATAAAATCCCATTTCCACCATAGAAGTTGACCTAACAAAACTCTCTGTTACCTGTCCTGTCATCTTTTCCATGCATGGGGCAAAAAATAAAAGTTAAAGGTGTCTCTTTTATTATTATTTGTTCATTACAAGGCTAGCAGCTAGCTGGCTGTTCCTGTGATGCTTTTTATTTATTTCATGGGTGATAATTCACTCCTGTGTATTTTTCCTACAGAACATGTTCGTTCCCTTCTTCTTAGTGTGTCGTGTAGCAATAAACATATTATAATTCACCAATAATCTATCGAATTAAAGGAGAAAAAGAATGTCTCAATCATGACTTAATATTCTGTCTGCTAAGCATCATTTGCGACCGAAAAAGAAAGTTGCTGTTGCGGTGGTTAAAAATGAAAGAGTCGGTTAGGTCGAATCATATACGAGCATTTTGTTCTCACATGCCGACAGCTTTTTTCACGTATAAAATTTGAAGAAAAAAGATAAATATGTATTCCATCCCAAATTTGTAAAGTATAAATAAATTTAACTCGTGAAACGAGAATTATTTCTTCTGTTCGTTTGTACAAAATAATTCATTTATGTATATCGCGGTTGGTTATCGTGTGTATATATATATATATGTGTGTGTCGGATGGGTTGATTCCACGAGATAATGTTCTCGATTTTTTTTTTCACGAGATAATGCTTTTGACATATTATTTGTTGAGATAGGGTTAATTGTACAGTGACCAAAGAGGTCGCCATGCACGCCCAACGACCAAAGAAATCGCCATGCACGCCCAATGACCAAGGAGGTCGCCATGCACTCGGGGCGACCAAGGATTCATGCATGGGGAGATCGTGCCATGCACTCGGGGCGACCAAAGATCGGTTCATGCATGGGGCACTCGAGGCGACCAAGTATGACCAAGGATCGGTTCATGTATGAGGCGACCATGTAGCGTGGAGTAGGGGCCAAAGACAAGGTCGCGAGCAGGAGAGCATGTAACAGTGGCCAAAGACAAGGTCGCGGGGCGTGCATGGCGACCTACCATGTCGTCGGGCGTGCATGGCGACCTAGGAGGTCGCTGGGAGTGCATGGCGACCTATGGTTGGGTTGTGCATGTCCCATGCACACGATCATTCCCATGCACACGACTCTCGTCGGAAGCCAAGTCGTAGGTCGCCCGGAAGGCATGGCGACCTACGGTCAACTGTGCAATTCACCCTACTTCATCAATTAATCTTGGGAGAACGTTATTTCGTGAATTATTTATTTTGAAAGCATTATATCGTGAGTTTGACCGTGCCGGATGAGTTTTTTTTTTTGATAATTCACTTTTATTATCAAAAGAAAACAGAGACTGCTACAGTAAGGAAACTAAGAAAACAACTAACTGGAAACAACAACAAAAATTATGCCTCCAGCTAAGAACGAGAAAGAAAGAAAGGACCCCATTCACACTAAGCCCCGAGAGTTACACAGCATCGAATTAACTCTTCCTTGCTCCATATACACCCCCGTCACTCTCTACCGCACTTCTTCCTTAATATCTCGAAGCAAAACAGCTGCCTTACCTCAATCAAAGACTCGCCGATTCCGTTCCCTCCATATATGGTGTACAAATGCACTCCATGCCACCTTTAAGAGAATAAACAGCAATGACCTTCCCTTCAAAGCTGTTATTGCCCAAGCCACCTCCTAATTCCAAGAGCCCACTCCTCTCGATAGATGACACAAAACAAAAAATTCCCCTCCACGCCTCCTTAGAATATTCACAACCAAATAAGAGGTGACTTCTAGATTCCAATTCACAAGAGCAAAAACAACAATACCCATCAGCAATAACACCCCAACGCAACAATCTCTCCTTAGTAGGCAACCTATCTAGTAAAGCAAGACACACAATCACGACATTCCTAGGAATGTAAAAGGGAAACCATATAAGTTTTACCCAACATACATGATCCTGCTTACTCCTGATAATCTGCCAGACTTTCCCCACCTGATAATTCCCGTACAATGTCCAATAACCCGTATCCAGGTCCACAAATTGAGCAGCCAAAATACGAAGCTTAAACAGCTTCTTCCAAAACCAACTGCACACACCCAAATTTGGGTTGTCCATGAAATTCCTTCCCTTCAAAACATACATGTCCGATACACCCATAAAGAATCATACTTAACAACAACAGCCCAGACATGCTGCAAAAGTGTCTAACGAGATTGTTGTTAAGGGGAGATCGTTTTTTCCGTTAGTCATTTTGGTTATTCTTCAAGTTTCTCTCATCCATGTTTGATACTCGAAGCCGTTGGTATGTTCAGTTTATGTACGTCGTTGTTTCGCTTGTTAATGGTTTTGTTTATCATGCTATCTCTAAGCGATCATTATTTTATTTTATTTTCGATAGTCACGACTGTATTTGTTCAGTCTGTACTTGACAAGAAGTTTATTGATACGACTTTCGATAAATAAAATATCTTGGTTATTTAAAAAACCAACAACTATATAGTTGTTTATAAGGTATAGGAGTTGTTATCCCACAATTATAAGGTATAAAATAAATCTTTCATAATTATTGATCGCTTCTCCCAGCCAGGGACGATATCAAGAGGAAAATTAGTAATTTTGGTCCCACTGAAATAAGAAAAGTTATCTTTAGTCCATCCAAAATTTTCAGAAGTATAAATTAGTACAGTAGTTAAATAGCATATTGTCCTTATAAAAATAAATTTTCGGTTTCGTCCTGTTCCCGATAACATCATATTCAAAATTCTAATTTAGATCCTTTCTCGAAGTACGATTGGCATTACTATTACCGACACTTGACGGTTCCTTATAATTTTCGTTAATGTATCAAAATTAAATATTTTAATATTATATGATAAATTTATAATTTTAATACAAATATTTAAATTCATTTTGATGTTTTTTTTCTTCTTTTGTGTTGGGCAATCACACGGTTTAGGGTTAATATGTGATTTGGTCCTTAAAATTTATTTTATTTCTATTTTCTCACTCCCTTATTCCTTCCTTCTATTTTCCCACCCAACCAAACAAAAACTAAAATACTTTTAAAGACTTAATATGTGAATTGGTCCCTAAACTATGCTCTTTTTCTCATTTTAATATTTTTACTTTTGAATGGAGGTATTACTAGGGCAACATGTCCAGTTGGATTTTTAACGCGATTACAGAAAAGGACTGAATTGGAAAAGAAAATGTACCTTAAGCAGTCATCCGAACCAATACAATCTTTAAGGATCAAACTGATAACGTATAATACTGTAGGGATGGATTTATGCATTAAGCCTATTTCATATGTGTAATTTCACGTGGGAGTGGGATGGCTTTTTCCTTGTGTGTCAGTATAGGGTGCCAGAAAGTCCTCGGTGACGTGTACTAGCCGTTGATTACGCTCCAAATTTGGCAAATCACTACATTATTGATTCAAATCGATTAAATAATTACTATATTAAAAGAGTCCAACTTTTTTCAAGTTAATATAAAAATTAAATATATATATATATATATATATATATATATTATTAATCATCGATATCATGTCTATTAATTAATTAATCTGGATTAGATACTGTAAAATTTTATTAAGTGAAACATTTTTATTTTAAGGTAAAAATCTCTAAATTTTGACTAAATAATCACTTTAATTTTTATTTTTGGAGCATTTGCCACCATCATTTTCTATTAAGAAAAAAGATTTATATTTTGGAGGCTGTCAATTTATCGACTAACAGTTTCAATTCACGTATATATTTTTTTGCCTTAAAATAGGGTGTAAGGTATGGCTCATAAATATATCGGTAAAGAGGATAGTGTTAATTTTGTAATTATATACTAGGGTTTTCTATTATAAATAGATATGTAACCTAAACCTATTATCATTGAATAAAAATTTTCTAGCGCTGCCTAGGCACCGAGGACGTAAGCACATTGCCAAACCTCGTTAAAATTCTTTTGTTTTTCGTTTACTTTGCCCGATTTATCAACATAAGGTATCGAAGAGATTAAATCACTAAAAAAAACTAAAATAATTATTTAATCAGATATTAAAAATGTTTTTTAATCATTATATTTATATTTTAATGGAAAGACAATGAAGAACCAATGACACTAAATATATCTCGGAGTGAGCAATGCCAATAAATGCACAGAATGCCACGAGCGACAACTGATAGAACGACAGAAGGCAGCACCATCGACCACCGGAGAAAAGGCTAGAAAGCCGCCGGAGATGAAGGCTAAAAGAAAGAAACCGAAGGAGAGTGGATGAACGGCTGAAGAGGAGCCAGAGCAGTGGTGGATCCAGATTTTTTTTTCAGGGTGAGAATATATATATTAACAATATAAAATTTTTGAATAAGATGAATACAAATAAAATTTCAGAATGAGCACCGTAACATAAGTAATTAATCGAAGAAAATTCATATTTTAAGATAGCACACAGTGGCGGATCCACTCATGATTAAGTGTGGGCACGTACCCATCCTGAAACCAAGATTTTCTTCGATCAATCACTTATTTTATAGATGGTACCCACACTGAAATTTCATTGTACCCACCATAAAATCTGAGTTTTCTTCGATTAGTGACACATTTACTGATGATTTCTACCTTGAATTTTTTTTATATTTAGCTCATTTAAAAATTTTATACCGTTAACATACATGTGTCACCCTTAAATATTTTTCTGAATCTATCACTGTAGACACATGATCACCCTCACTAAGTTGTGGCCGACGAAACTTATGGTCGGCGAAAGGTATCACTGTCATATTAGTAGAACTTTGTACTTAATAGTTCTTCATAGTTGAAGCATAAATACTACCATTTTAGGGTAACGTCCACTCTATACCCCTATTATTTATTATTTTGAATAAGTATGGTATTTTACTTTCATTAAAAAGTTCATGAGGGGAATAGGCTCAGTAATAAAATTGAGAAAATTTAAAAAAAAATGAATTGAATTATGTAGTTTAATTGATTTTTTAATATATTTAGATGTTTAATTTTATAATTTCGTTTGATTTCTTTTTTAATAAGATTTATTTCTTTTAAAACCAAATAAAAAAATAATACTTTTAATTAAATTTATTTTAAGATTGTTAAAAGTAAATTTAAATAAATAAAATTAATAATATAATATTTATTCAAAAAAAACTCTCAATCATTTAACATTAAACAAACGTTAATATCTCTAACATTCGTGATGCTAAAACCCGGAATTTTAAAATAGAACAACTAACTCTTTTTATCATCAAAATCACATAGTTCTTGGCTTCTTGCATGGATACTTGTATTTTAAAAATTTTAGCTGTCTTTTTTTATGAATCTTGATTAGTATTATGGTTTAATATAAAAAGGAAGCCCTTAATATTTTACTAAGTTTTTCAATCTGCTCCTTATATTTTTTATTTTGGAGAAAAGGTCCTTTAATAGATGAAAATTATAGGTTAATAAATAATAAATAATTAATATTTAAAAAATAAGAATTATTTTACTCTAAAATAAAATATTAATAACCAAAATAATTTAAAAGAAAAGAATAAGAGTCAGGATAATTATTTAATTAAATGATAAGAATTTTTTACCTAAAATAAATAAAACATCAAGGACTAAAATGTTCTTAAAAACGAATATAGACCAAAATAATTATTTTAAAATTTATTGGGGACTCATTTTGATGATGGGTGTTATTAGTATCTTTTCTCTCTCGCACGGACGAATCTCCACTTCAGGGGAAAAGAAAACCTTCTTCACCATAGCTACTTTCTCTCAGGTCTCTCTCATCAAACCCCAAAATATCTTCTTCTTCTTTTCTTCCAGATCTCAAACAGAAAAAAGAAACCCATAAACAAAAGCTGAAAATTTTCTGGGAAAATCCCATTTTCAAATGTCTCAAATCTGAGATGAAGAAGAAAGCTGACATCAAGCTCCATGCTTCACCTCTTTCACTCTTCTGCTGTTTCTTCTCACTCTTCAGCTTCTCTTCATGTGAACAGCTTCCATTTTCCAGCCATGGCGGCCTTACAGAACAAGAAGTTTACACCAAGCAACGCCGGCTTCTCTACTACGGAGACGACTTCGGCGACAGAGGGGAAGAAGCCGTCACCGTCGACCCATCGCTCGTTTTCGAAAACCCCAGGCTTAGAAATGCTTACATTGCTTTACAAGCTTGGAAGCAAGCTATTATTTCCGACCCCTATAATCTCACCGGTAATTGGGTCGGATCCAATGTATGCAACTACACCGGCGTTTACTGTGCTCCGGCGCCTGATAACGCCACGATCAGAGCCGTCGCCGGCATTGACTTGAACCATGGGGATATCGCTGGGTACTTGCCAGAAGAGCTTGGGTTGCTTACTGATCTTGCATTATTTCATATTAACTCGAACCGGTTCTGCGGTACTATTCCTCGGAAGTTCAGTAAATTGAGGATATTGTTCGAGCTGGATCTTAGCAACAACCGGTTCGCCGGGAAGTTCCCTGCGGTGGTTCTTCGGTTGCCGGCGCTCAAGTTCTTGGATCTGCGGTTCAATGAGTTTGAAGGAAGTGTACCCAGAGAGATTTTTGACAAAGATTTGGATGCCATTTTTATAAACCACAACCGTTTCAGATTTAACTTACCGAACAACTTCGGGAACTCGCCGGTTTCCGTCATCGTCTTGGCCAACAACAAGTTCCACGGTTGCCTGCCGGCGAGTATCGGCAACATGAGTGGCCTTGAAGAAATTATTTTGATGAACAATGGGTTGAGATCTTGTTTGCCCAGAGAAATCGGTAGGCTTAAAAATATGACTGTGTTTGATGCTAGTTTTAATGAGTTGATGGGGCCTTTGCCGGAGGAAATTGGGGGAATGGTGAGCCTGGAGCAGCTCAATGTGGGGCATAATATGTTGTCCGGTAAGATTCCGGCAAGTATTTGTCGGTTGCCGAAGCTGGAGAACTTTACGTTTTCTTATAATTTCTTCACTGGAGAGCCGCCGGTTTGCTTGTCGTTACGGGGATTTGATGACCGGAGGAATTGCTTGCCGGCGAGACCTTTGCAGAGAAGTGCGGCGCAGTGCAAGTCTTTCTTGTCTAGGTCAGTGGATTGTAGTTCGTTTAGATGTGCTCCTTTCGTTCCTTTTCCGCCTTCCCCGCCGGTGGTTGTAACTTCACCGCCACCTCCTCCGGTTGTTGTAATATCACCGGTGCCACCTACCCCAATTTACACTCCACCAGTCCCGTTACCTCCTCCACCCATTTACACTCCTCAATCCCCACCACCACCACCACCACCACCATCTCCTCCTCCACCCGTATACACTCCACAATCACCTCCACCACCAACGCCTCCACCACCGGTTTTCTCACCTCCGCCCCCACCACCTATATACTCTCCCCCTCCTCCTCCTCCTTCCCCATTACCACCGCCACCGATTTATTTTCCTTCCCCGCCACCGCCCTCACCTCCACCTCCTGCTCCACCAGTTAACTCTCCTCCACCTCCACCATTTTACTATCCACCGTCACCACCTCCACCTACACCAACATATTGTGTGAGGTCTCCACCACCCCCGCCACCACATTCACCTCCACCACCAATTTATCCATACTTATCTCCACCGCCGCCACCACTTCCAGTTCACTCTCCTCCACCACCAATTTATCCATACTTATCTCCGCCGCCGTCGCCACTTCCAGTTCACTATCCACCACCACCCTCTCCTCCTCCATGTATAGAACCACCTCTATCACCATCACCACCTCCCCCAATTTATTACAAGCCACCCCCATCACCTTCTCCTCCATCACCACCAGTTCATCACCATTCTCCTCCACCGCCCATTATTTACGAAAGTCCGCCTCCACCATTATCGCCCCCACCAGCTCCAGTATATGAGGGGCCATTGCCACCGGTAATCGGAGTGCCGTACGCTTCACCTCCGCCACCACCTTTCTATTGATTCTTTTGAGAATTTTCCTCCAAAAAAGAAGGTAAAGAAAAAGTCCATCACTTCATATCAACTATGGGATCGAACTTTCCATTGAATGCCATCGAAGGGTAAAAATCCGAGAAAAAAACAGGGTAGAGAGAGAGAGAGGGGGGGGGGTTTAAGAGGAGAAAATCTCTCCTATATTTAACTGAGAATCGGCATCAGGATATTTAGTATCCGTCAAATAAAGAAAATTGCAGAGAAAGTCGTATGTATTGAGATGAGATCACCATGAATTCTACTTGTTTTCTTTTTATTGTTTACTATCATAATTTTGTATTTTGATAATTTTCCAGAACTCTAGTTGTTTGACTTTTGAATTTGCTTCCTCATTCCTTACATCATTAGTGTTGGATTCTTCCCAGATGATGAAACATTTTGGCAAATTACCAAAAGTTGGTTTTTTTAAGATGGGTAAATCTTTGTTTTCCAAGTGTTCATATTCTATTATCGAAATTAAAAGATAATGTCTTGGCCTTTATGTTCTCTCTTTATAATTTTTTATGTTATCCATTAATAATGTTTTAATTTGACTCTTGAAATTTAGATAAAATATTAATTTTATTCATGAATTTCATCAAAGTCCTCCTGTCATTGTTGGCTATAGTCAGTTGTTGTAATTGGTAGTTGCTAAACCTCAAAATTTACCAGATCACAAAATTATGTTTACCCTAGGGTTATATATCATTGGATTTATGTTTGTTGGGATTTAGTCCCATGTGCAACGGCAAAATCTCGTTGATAGTGCGTTGAATTTTTTTTTTCGTGAAATAGTGGGATCGCCAGATTAATTGCTAAAGTAGTGTCCTCTACAGTACCGGGGGTAGGTCGCCATGCACGCCCGGCGACCTACCAGGTCGCCATGCACGCCCACGACCTGGTAGGTCGCCATGCATGCCCTGCGACCTACCAGCCAACGCCCATGCACGCCCAACGACCTCCATGCACGCCCATGCACGCCCAACGACCTCCATGACCTCCATGCACGCCCATGCACGCCCAACGACCTCCATGCATGCCCAGGCACGTCCAACGACCTCCATGCACGGCCATGCACGCCCAACGACCTCCATGCACGTCCAGCTCGCCAAAGGTCACCATGCAGTCCATGCTTGGACTGAACAACGTTGGGCCATGCAGGATAGGTAGCCATACAATCCTCTCCACTTGCAGCTGCTCAGGAGAACCTATTCCTCCTGCTCCTCGCGTGATTCCTCTTACATCTGCTCAGGAGACTCATGCATGCAGCTGTAATAGCTGTATTATTGCAGCATGATTTGAGCTGCAAAGTGTCATAGATTCGTGCCCTAGCTTCTAGCCATAGCTTGTCCCCCATAGCTTCGAGACTGTTCACTCTTGTTATCATAGCTGTATTGGTGCAGCATAAAATCAGTTGTGTTGTATTATTGCAGCGTTCAACGGTTGAAAATTTACAGCTTTCAACGTGAATTATACAGCTCAAATTGATTGCAACTTACCTACCAACCGTTGAAATATCATTATATATTGGATATGAGGGGTTTAGGGTAGAATCATAAGAAAGAAAGAAAATTTGGCGAGAAAAAGGAAATGAAAGGAAAATAAGAAGAAGAGGAATTGGAGATAAAGGCTCAAATATCGTTTGTGAGGTAATTTTTAATTGTTTAATTTAGTTTATTAATATGAAATTATGAAATAATTAGTTTGTTAGTTTAGGGTTTAGGATAAAACAGAAATTTAGTTAATTAGTTTGTTAGTATAAATTATTAGTTTGTTAGTTTAAGTTATATATTAATTTGTTTTTAAGTTATATATTAGATATATAAAAAATTAGTTAATTAGTTTCTTAGTTTAAGTTATTAAATGTAAAAAATATTAATTAATTTGTTAGTGTGTTTAAACGTATATTAAGTTGTTTGTTGAAGTTTAAGTTAAAATATTAAAAAGTTAATTAGTGCTTAATTAGTTTGTTAGTTTGTTATTTTAACTAAATTATATTATAATAAAGAAATAGTTTATTAGTTTAAGTTATATTATAATATATTGGATTATATAAATTTAATTTTTTTAATTTATTGTTGTTTAAAGAAATAATTTTTTTACACGTACAGAGCATTATTCCACAACATTTTTCCACGTACATATTGATTCGAAGAAAGAAACAATAAAGGAAAGGAAAGGAAAGGAAATGAGCAACAACTTTTTCACGATTGTCCATTATAATGGACAGATTATGGAAAATGAGATCGGAGTAGTTTTTCAGTCTGAAAACCAATAAATGATGTTCAAAAAGACATCACATTTATAGAAATGAAGCATAAGATAGAAAAAAAATTCGAGTTGCAGTTGATGGTTTGAGGTATAGGTTTATGATATGCCCCAACCCAGTCAAATATGCTGCAGTTCCACTTGAAGAAGATGATGATATTGGAACCATGGTTCGATTACATGAGTTAACCAATATAGCAGTTATTGAGTTATTTGTTGATGTGCATAACATATGTGATGTTCCTGGGTCATCAAGAGGTGTGGCTCAAAATCCATCTGAATGACTTTATATAGTCAGTTTGAGGAGCCGACATACAGGTTCCCGAACAGTTTTATGGCACTATTGGAAAGTGTAAATGAAGTCGGGGGACATCTGCAACAGAAGAGTGTGAGACGAGAAACATACCGGAATTGGTTGTTGATATTGACGCTGAAAATCGATGGGGAGAAATTCATGATGATTCAAGCGAAGATGAAGAAACCGAAGAACCCGTTTTGGGCGACGACGAAAATATTTTTGGTGGAGGTGCAATTGATGAAGTTCCGGCACCGTATGAAGCTACTCCTCACATGTACGAGATAGACTATGATGCGATGATGGCACCTGAATTCCCAGACATGCCACATTTACCTCCATACCAATGACTGCATCATTCGATAATTCTGGTGAATTTTCAGTTGGGTGCAATTCAGAGGAAAAAATGAAGCTACCCTAGCGATTAAAGAGTACTGCATAAAATGCCATGTTGATATCCATGTTGCAGAGTCCAACCAGAAAACCCTATACGCGAAGTGTGTAAAATATGGCCTAGAGTGCAAGTGGAAGATCAGAGTGTCGAAAAATCAAAGGCACGATGTTTGGGTCATCACGAGGTACAATGGTCCGCACACGTGTTTGCGAAACTTCATCGAACAAGACCACCGACTATTGGACTCCGATGTAATATGTGAATACGTGAAGGCGATGGTTGAAAAGGATCCAAGGATATCTTGTTCAGTGTTAGCTGCATCTATTCGAAGCCAATTTGGATATCAAGTAAAATATGGCAAGGTGTGGAATGCGAAGATGAAGGCAATGAAGCTGACGTATGGAGATTGGGATACATCGTACAATGAGCTACCACATTGCTACAAGCAATGAAGCGATTTATCCCAGGAACCATAGTGAAGTCTCAAACCATGCCCGCATATGACGAAGAAGGTCAACTTCTGCCAGGGAAGAAAATATTTCATAGACTATTTTGGGCATTCAAGGCATGTATTGAAGGATTTCCATTTTGTAAACGTATGATCCAAGTAGATGGTACGTGGCTGTATGGTCAATATAGGCATGTACTTTTGATGGCAGTTGCTCAAGATGGTGAGCGAAATATCTTCCCAATTGCATTCGCCATTGTTGAGGAGAGACAACAGAGGCTTGGGATTTCTTTCTGACCAATCTACGTCAATATGTCGTTCGTGAAGATGGAGTTTGCTTGATATCCGATAGAGGAACGGGTATTTTGGCGGCAATTGAACGACCAGGAAGTCGTTGGATACCTCCGTATGCATATCCGACATATTGTATCCGTCATATTGGCAAGAATAGTATCGACCAATTTCATAACGCACACATTCGTAGCGAGATAGTCAGCATGGGTAAGTTTTATTTTCAATATTTGTGCATTTTTTACATGGTTTTTTTAATTGCGGTTTAACACAGTATATATGAAACAGGATACGAACTACGTCGACCAAATTTTGATAAGAGATTGGAGAATTTGAAGGTATTTTACGATGATCAGCGTGTTTGGAAGTGGGCTTCAAAAATACCGCGGGAAAATGGTCACAAGCATATGACGAAGGTCGGAGATACGGACATATGACCACAAACCTTGCTGAGGCCATTAATTCGGTACTAAAGGTACACGCCATCTCCCAATTGCGAGTGTGATGAAAGAGACGTACTTTAGATTGGGTAAAGTTTGGTCGGACAAAGGCAAAGAAATAGAGAGTCTTATAAATAGAGGTAAAACTTGGGCTCCTACAGTGGTGGAATCAATGGAAGCAAATGAGCGATTGGCAACATCAATGGTTGTTCATAATTTCGACCGAGTTGGTCATACTTTTGTCGTGTCGTGCATACGCCGTAACGTCGGAGGAGAAGACCAACATTTAGAGTTGATTTACGACATAAATGGTGTGATTGTGGTCGTTTTCAGGCATGGAAATATCCATGTGCTCATGCATCGCAGCATGTATGTATGCTGGTGTAAGCGCATACACTTATGTTGATGAGTGCTTTCACTTACGTAGGATATTAAATGTCTACAGCTATGAGTTCAGACAGATACCAAATGATCATATTGGCTCAGAAAGATCATGACGAATGGCTGCCAAATCCAATGCTTCGCAGAAGTCCAAAGGGTCGACCTGAGTCCACTCGTATTCATACCAGTATGGATTTCCATGCTAGAGAGAGGTCAAACAAAGAGATGCGGATTATGTAGGGGTGAAGGCCATTCAAAAAACAATTGTCCTAATTTACCAAGATATAGGCCTCATCATTAGTAATGATATAGTATTTCTATGCATTTCTATGTATTTATAAGATTTAGTAATGATTAGTAATGATGAATTATTATTAATATTTAATGATTTAATAGTAATTTGATAGTAATGATTAGTAATAATGAAATTATTATTAATTATGTATGATTTGATAGTAATGATTTAGTAATGATTAGTAATAATGAAATTATTATTAATTTTTAATGATTTGATAGTAATGATTTAGTAATGATTAGTAATAATGAAATTATTATTAATTATGTATGATTTGATAGTAATGACTTAGTAATGATTAGTAATAATGAAATTATTATTAATTTTTAATGATTTGATAGTAATGATTTAGTAATGATTAGTAATAATGAAATTATTATTAATTATGTATGATTTGATAGTAATGATTTAGTAATGATTAGTAATAATGAAATTATTATTAATTTTTAATGATTTGATAGTAATGATTAGTAATAATAATTTATTATTAATATTTA